GATCAGCGTGTGACCCACTGCCATTCCCTCTGCAGATGAACAAAGACTCTCTTTGCTTGCGGCTACTCCTTCCATTTTGCAGAATAAATTGCCGTTTGTGTTTAACACTTACTTGGACACAGTCTTCCTGACACTTTACTCAAAAAAAAAAAACCTGTTGCTGTCAAGTTAATTCCGACTCATAACGACCCTACAGGACAGAGTAGAACTGCCCCACAGAGTTTCCAAGGAGTGCCTGGTGGATTTGAACTGCCAACCTTTTTGGTTAGCAGCCATAGCTCTTAGCCACTTAGCCACCAGGGTTTTGGCTTTGCTCCAAGGGAGCAGACAATCACTGTTAAGCAAGTTTGATTCTCCTGCCAGCCCAAGACAGTGCTCTGCCCATCCAAGCTGCTCACTATGCGTGCTGACTGGACTGGATTCGAAAACCACTGAGATCTTGAGGTACGGCAGGAAACCGTCCCAAGAGGCAGTTGTGCGGCCAGGAGACAGCTGCAGTTTTTCCACGTCCCTAGTCACCAGGTTCCCAGCACTTAATCGGAGTGGTGGAAACTACATGGAGGTGGTTCGGTGCTGGTTTGTCTGTTCAGCTTTTGCTTTAGGAGATTGGGTCTGTGATAGAGACCTGATGCTAAGACCTTTCAGATGGCTTGTCCTTGAGGGGAATGTGGATCCTTGGGGACCTTTGATGCATTGCGCTACCTAACAAGGCACAGGTTGAATGTCACCTTGTGTCATGCTGGGTTGCGTTTAGTTGGTCAGAACACTGAAGTGTTGGGGGTGCCCTTCTGCTGCCAGGATTCCTGAGGAGGGCAGGAAGCCATAGCTGCTAAGCAGAGGCTGGTCATTCCTGCTGGGCTGGGGCTGTAGGGTCCTCCACCCCTGTGGCTGGTGGACACTGGGCGTGGTGGGTATGCTTGCCTAAGTACCTGTTTGTAGAACACAGGCAGGGCTGAGCTAAAGGGCAGTCACCTGAAACCAGTCAAGTTGGTTTTCTGCCTTTGGCCCTGAAGCTAAAATTTGCATTCCAGATGAGACCTGCAGGGAAGCCAAAGAAAGCACTTAAAAAAAAAAAAAAAAAGCTTCAAAGGCAGTAAATGAACTGCTTTGAGAGTTCTGGGCATTTTGAGGTGATCTGTTGCTTTCCTTGCTATTACTCCTTTGCTTTGGGCTTTGTTAAGTGGTGGTTCATGTGGGTGCTCTGCGAGTTTTTCCGCCTGGGAGGCCAACATGGAGTCCAGAAGGAGAAGGGAGAGGGCTGTAAGATGTGTTTCAGCGATTTTCTGCCGAATCACTTTTGAGTCTCGGGGGGCTGCGGGAGGGGTAGGGGAGCGGGTCGGGCCGGCAGGATCTGCTAGCTGCCGGCTCAGCACTGTGGGAGCCTCAGCTGGCTCGCCTACGAGGAAGTTGAGAGCAGCTAGGAGAAAGGCTGGCTCGGGGCGGAGCGAAGTTCTCGGCAGGGATTCCCAGGGGCAGGCTGACTCTCCTGACCACAGAAAGCCTTTTGTCCACAGGGATAAATGCGGAAGTCCCAGAAGAGCAGCGTCCCGGCCCGTGTGTAGTAAGGTGCCCAGCCTCAGCCAGAGCCGTGACGCTCCCAGACTTGTTCAGTTGCCCTGGGTGTACCATCATCACTCAGACTAGCAGGAGGGCACGGTGACCTGAAAGCGACCGGTGTGCTGGCTGTGGGCTGAGGAGTCCGGCTCCTGGGTCCCGTCGCTCTGGGTCCTGTAAGTGAAGAGCAGATGGAGTGGATGAAGTGAGCAAGCAGGAGAAGGTAGCAAAAGGGCCAACTTGCATCGAGGGCATTGCTGAGACATGGAGGACGCTGCTCATTCCCTGAATGGCAGTGATGTCTCTGAACCAGAAAAACCTGAAGCTGGACTTGAAGTGGCTCAGTCGATCCTCAGTAAGTTCTCTGTGAGATCCCTGTTTGGACTGACGAGTAAGTCAGAACCCGTGACGGCTGAAGAGGAAGGTGCTGTGCTGAAAGCATTTGGCAGCTTAGAGCTGGACCGCACACCTGGGCAGGATGACCCCGGCAGTGGCACGGGTCAGCAGGAGGCGGACGCTCAGGTCCTCCCTGACCCCCGAAACGATGGGAAGCCTGGAAGTGAGGAGACTGAGTCAGAGGGAAGCCGGGGAAAAGCGGAAGCAGGGGGTCCTCTCCCTGGTCAGGAGCTTCTACTCCCTACTTTGGGTGTTAACAGAGCCGATGTCATTTTGGTTCGTGGGACCCTTGTCCACACCACCAGTGATTCAGACTCTGATGATGACCTGGAGCCTGAAGAGGGAAGCACGCCCCATGGCTCAGAGACCCCTCGTGTTGTTTCATCTGAGCCATCCCAAGAGCCCAAAGAAGTCCCAGGAGATTCTAGGGAAAAGATGGTCACTGGGGAACCAGGCGGTGTGAAACACTGTGCAGAAGGTCCCCAAAGGACTCCACCTGACATAAGTGACAAGTCGGAACCTAGTGACAGTGGCCTTCAGACAGAGCACAGCCCCAGCCAGGCCCAGGCTGCAGAAGAAGTTTCCCAAGTGCCACCGGGGTTAGCAAACCAGAGCGTTAGTGTCAGAGTCACCGAGAGTGCCTCTTCCAAAAGAGAAGTCCCCGGGGAGAGGACGTTCCAGCTTCCAGCTTTCTTTAGTGGGCTTCGCGTGCTGAAGAAAGGGGTTACGGCTGAGGCAGCGGAGACCATCACAGAAATTAAACCCAAGGATGGGGAGCTGGCTTTGCTCAAACTGACCCAGCCTGTTCAGAAGTCCCTAGCGCAGGCAGGGCCACTGCCGGTGAAGAATGGGGAGAAAACAGCTGAGCTGAAGGCCACTCCCACTCTCCTGGATCAGCTCTCCCAGCTGCTCAGCCTTGACATGCCCGGGACAGAACCAAAGGCAGAAGACCCTGAGCCATCGAGGGGTGAAGAGATGGGCCGCAGCGCTGACCGGGAGAGACAGTGTGGCCCCGGAGAAGCCCAGACCCTGGCTGGAGAGGTCAGGCCAAAGCCGCCAGAGACCGCCATGGAGGCCTTTAAAGCCTTCTTCATCCGTCCCCCCAAAAAGGGGACCACCGCCGACACCTCTGAGCTGGAGGCTCTCAAGCGCAAGATGAAACATGAGAAGGAGTCCCTGAGAGCTGTTTTTGAAAGGTCCAAGTCGAGGCCAGCGGAGGGGCCCTCTGATCCCAAAAGCGTATGTAGAACTGGGTCTTGCATTTTGTCATAAAACACGATGTTGCGATATTTCTTCTCAGGTTGTCTGGGAAAGTGAATCCCAGTTACCTGTTGTTAGCAACCCTCTTTTGGGTAAAAGATGATTATGTTGGAATTGAATTGAGCTTGTAAGGAGTGTGGAATCGCACACAAGTGTTTTCTTTTCATATTCTTCTGCATTGATATAGAGGGGTAAAAGGAAAGAAGTACAGGTGGGAAAGGGGAAGTGCCCCTCTGGGTGTAAACGCTGATAGTAAATGTTCTTATAAAAACTAAGCAGCATGAGGAAGCAATGTAATATGGAAGTATGACCCAGATTTACAGCGATTTCCCCACCACTTCATTACACCTCTGTTAAAACTTTATTTTTCCTTTGAATGTCGGCCATTTGGCAAAATATGTGTTCGTGATGTGATTGAAATGCTACATGTTGGTTGGAAGGCATCCTGATTGAGCCCTGGATTTAGAATGATCCCTGGGTTTTAATCCGAACTCTGCCATTTACTGGCTGAGTGACTTTGATCATCTGAGTCTTAGTCTTCTCATCTACAAAATGAGGGAAATAAGGGGCCCTGGTGGCGCAGTGGTTATGAGCTTGGCTGCCAACCAAAAGGTTGACAGTTCAAATCCACCAGGTGCTCCTTGGAAACCCTATGGTGCAGTTCTACTCAGTCCTATACGGTCGCTATGAGTCAGAATCAATTCGATGGCAGCGAGTCATTTTAGGGTGGTTGTGAGGATTAAATGAAGTTAGTACATGGTAAGCAACCAGTTAATGGGAACTAACTGTTATTATTCAAAGAACGCTGGTTCAGGTAATTTGTAAAGACTAGCAAACACCTGTCCAGTAGATAGTAAATGTTCATAAGAACAATGGATAGAATTTCTTGTTTAATATCGACTTAGTGTAAGATTGTCATTTTCTTTTGTATATGTAAGTTAATATATTCAGTTAAAGGAGCCCTGGTGGTACAGTGGTTAAGTATTTGGCTACTAACCAAAAGGTCAACAGTTCATATCCACCAGCTGCTCCTTGGAAACCCTATGGAGCAGTTCTACTGCGTCCTGTAGGGTGGCCATAAGTCAGAAATGACTCGATGACAACAGATTTTTGGTTTTATTTAGTTAAAACATTAAAAATTGCAAAACCTTTGGAAAAACTGTCTTGAGTGTTGGCTAAAACAATAAAAATAAAAAATCTAAGCTAAACACAATATATATATAGTATTATCCTAGTTATCAATATCAACTCCCATAAAAAACAACTTGAATACAACATCTATCTCATTTGTATTTTATAGGGGAAAAAAAAAAAACCCTGAAATTACAAGTGTGGAGTGCTTGGAGAAGTATGTCTTGGCCTATAACTAATGTTCATGGAGAATGGAAAATTAGTCTTATGCTATAATGAACCTTGAAGTTGTTTGGGATACATTATAAACATTCCTCTAAATATACCTGAGTGTGGTACATTTATATCTGTATCTTCAGATCACAGTGAGTTTGTGATTCTTAACAGTTATATGATAAAAATCATCTGTTAAGTGTTGTGTAGTGCTTAACTTTGAGTTGTTTTTGGCGTTGACCCCGATTGATAAGTTGTCCATTTCTGGAAAAGGGTCACACTGTAATAAGGCATTGTCTCGGTTACAGTGAATGAGAGTCATGTGCAGCTGGCTGGCCGTTAACATTCATTTTAGAATTAGAGTCCACGTGTTTGTTTTCAGTAATTCATTGGCTCTGGCCGCATTTCATTTAACTTATGCTTTTCTTTGCCCGTTTTTTCAACAGCCAGACCAGAGCCCCACAGAGCAGGACGACAGGACTCCTGGCCGACTCCAGGCTGTCTGGCCACCCCCAAAGACAAAAGACACAGAAGAAAAAGTGGGATTGAAGTACACTGAAGCAGGTAAAGTGAAAGGAAGCCAGGTACCCGGGACTGAATCTCTTGCTGTAATGGCCTTTAGTCCTAGTTCAGTAGACTCTCAGAATTTGGGTTTTGTTTCCTTATAAAACGCAATGCTGAAGGCTTTTCTTTTTGGTTTTGCTGTTAAGGTGAACCTTACACATGTATCATTAACGAATCTCTCAGAGATGAAAGGTGAATGCAATGGAGTGAATGAAGGAAGGGCCTGTGTGTGTAAAGTAGGAGAACCTTTTGGGAGCTAATGGGCAGGGTAGATTACAAATTCCTTAGGAAGCAGATGCTAGGCCCTCATATAATGTTGATGTGAGCTGGCAGTGTGACTCTCCAGAGCTGTAATCTGATTAGCTGTTGGTCTTTGAGTAATGCTTTTGAGCTAAAGGAACCTTGTGCAGGGTGAATGTACAGATACGGTATCAGTTATTCTTCCACTTTTATTAGACAAAGCTTTATTTAATGCATGGCCAATTTTAAAGCAATCCAACTCCCTGGAAACCTTCCCAGGAACTTTACTTGAATCTGCTTAAGTGGAATGGGGCTTGAGATATTTTTTCTCTTTTAAGTGGAGGGTTCACATGAAGTTAAAAAACTCTGAAGAGTGAAGCGGGTGGATGTATCTTGATTTCATGTGTATCATTGAAACTTTTTTCGCTTTTTTTCCTTTTCTTTGAAGATTATCAATAAATGACTTATATTTTGTTGGCTGTCTTAGGTATCTGCCCATATTAAGATCAGTCTATCTGGGTGTCAGAAAACAATTCTTTCTGTTTCTATTCTTTGATAGACATAAGTGAATCAAAGTTCACGTGGTTCAGTAATGTATGACTTTTCTGCATTATTGTCGTATCACTTCAGCGATTGAGAACATGCTAGTTGAATCCTGAGGTGTACAACCTGACCGTTTTCAGCCTCCATTTACACAGTTGCTAACTTAGGACTTTCCAAGACATTAACTACTCCACTGCATTGTTTCTGCAGTGTCTGATTTATCGAATGAAAACACCATATCCTTGATGAAGATGTATCTTTCTCTTCAGTCTTCTTGCCCTCATTTGACTTGCCAGAGTTGAAGTGACTGTGATTGCAGTATGAGGTGACATACTAAGTAATTGTTGTCTTGGTCTGGCTTAGTTTGAATGATTAAAAGTACTGAAGTATAGTTTAATAAAAAACCAGAATCCTGTGAATTCTTAATTCCTAATTATGTTAGTGACCTTAGTCTTGTCCCTACTGGTATATCATAGCTGTCTTCCTTGTAATGATGGGCATTGGCTGAGTAGAGAATGAAATGATTTTATGTTTAATTATAAATGGTTTTACAATTAACTTCAGGTAATAATGGGGCATTGTGGTTAACGAGCTCAGCTGCTGACTGAAAGATTGGAGGTTCAAGTCCACCTAGAGACACCTGGGAAGAAAGGCTGTTGATCTACTTCCGAAAAATCAGCCACTGAAAATCCTATGAACCCGTTTCTACTCTGACACACACGGGGTTGCCATGAGTTGAAATCAATTCAGCAGTAACTGGTTTTTTATACCTCTTCGTAGATTCTGTCATCTCTCCTTCTGTCTTCTGTTACCAGAGCTTCAGAGGAGCACGTTAGTTTACCTCGACTTCCGCAGTCTATTTTTTAAGTAATGAAATGTGTCCCCAGAGCTTTCTAAGGTCTAGGATGAGATGGGAACAGGGAGGGAGACAGTAAAGCTTCTCTTGGGTGGGCTGTGAAGGCACTTACACAGTGAGCAGGCCGGCCATTGTCCAGAGACAGCAGCTGGCTCTCCGGCCAGTCCCCTTGGCTTGACAGGACCGTGACACGCATCGCATGCTCCTGGGTCTGGTGCTCACCTTCTTGAGAGCTTTTTAAGTGCTCAGTACTCTGTTAACACACTTTGGGGGTACTAAAAAGAACAAGACAGCCCATGCCTAGAAGAGACTCATTTTTATCCTGTTATTTGAAACCAGTGTGGGTTACCTTATTATTTTTTGCTCATTTTGAGGAAGTCGGCAGTATCTCTGGTTTTCTAAAACTTGGTTGTTCAGAAAACTGGAGTCTTGTAAGTATTTGGCTTGTAATTTAACACAGTGTCATATTTTCATTGGCTTTCCTGTCTGAGGGAGACAGAGAATTTGCCACTCTGTTGGGAACAGAGATGGAGAAATTAATTAAATTCAAGATACCTCAAGGTGTCTTAGTTATCTAGTGCTGCGCTAACAGAAATACCACAAGTGGGTGGCTTTAACAAAGAGAAATTTATTCTCTCACAGTCTAGTAGGCTAGAAATCCAAATTCAGGGTGTCAGCTCCAGGGGAAGGCTTTCTCTCTAGGTGGGCTCTGGAGGAAGGTCCTCATCATCAGTCTTTCTCCGGACTAGCAGCTTCTCTGCACAGGAACTTCGGGTCCAAAGGACACACTCAGCTCCTGGTGCTGCTTTCTTGGTGGTTTGAGGTCCCCCCTTTCTGCTTGCTTCCCTTTCCTTTTATCTCTTGTAAGATAAAAGGTGGTGCAGGCCACACCCCAGGGAAACTCCATTTACATTGGATTAGGGATGTGACCTTAGTAAGAATGTTACAATCCCACCCTAATCCTGTTTAACCTAAAATTGCAATCACAAAATGGAGGGCAACCGCACACTACTGGGAATGAAGGCCTAGCCAAATTGATACACACATTTTTGGGGGTACATAATTCAAGCCGTGACGGTGTCTGAAGTTCTGTGTGTCTGAAGTCTTGTGTTTTCACATCCTCTGTGCGCCTTACTTTTTCTTGGAGCGTGTTACCTGTTAAGTCAGTGACATGGGGGTCTGGACTCTAGCATGCAGGTGTCGAGTGTGCTGTTGGCGTCCATGCCCAGTCCGTGGCCAGCCTGGATTGGCGGCACTGTGTCTCTTCATCATGAGCCTCCCCTTCCCCCACTCTCCTTGTGCTGCCCTCAGCCGCCTTGGGCTTATCACTGCTTGGGTTTTCTTTTATTCAGAACTTATCATTTGATACTGAAGAGAGCGCTGAGGGGAGGAAGCAGTGCCCAGGCACTCAGAACTTCCGAGGGAGGCTGGGCAGTATGGCGGCTGCCTGGCAGGAGCTGTGGCCTTCAGGAGAGGGACGCAGCCCATCTGTGGTGACCTGGTGGGGAGGGCACTGGGGGGATAAATCCCCTCTTTCCTCCATTTCTCTGGTCTCCTTCCCGTGCTCCCATTGGCCAAAGCACAATTATAAGTTAATTTGACAATTGAGAACTTTAAGATGCTTAGTATTTCTACCTAGGAACATGTCTTATCAAACTATTCATTCAGATTTTCTTATATGCCCTTCAGTGACTTAAAAAAAATGTTATATGTATATATACATATATAAGTTAAGTATATATAAAAATGTGTGTTTATATATAGTGTATGCTTGCTTCTAAGTATAGTCCCAAGCATATTATTTTTTAAAAATAAGTACATGATATGACTTTCTTTCCTGTGATTTGTTTCTTTTCTTCCATAAGTTCTAAGAGTATTCCTAAGAATCTAGTGACTCAAGCATAGTGGGTTTGCTACAGCTGATTTTCCTCCAAAGGCCAGGACTTGACTGAGTGACAAACATGTTTGGACTGACTGATGACCTTAGCGGGTACCTTCCCCTGTCTTCTTCTGGCTAATGATTTTTCAGGATCCTGGGTGGCGCAAATGGTTAAGTGCTTGGCTGCTAATTGAAAGGTTGGTGGTTGGAACCCACCCAGCCACTCTGTGGGAGAAAGACTTGGTGATCTGCTTCCATAAAGATTACAGTCAAGAAAACCCTGTGGGCAGTTCTACTCCATACATGGGGTCGCTTTGTGTCAAAAACGACTCGCTGGCACCTAGCAATGATTCTTAATATTTTGAGACGCCTTGGAAAATCTGTTGATGATAGAAAGCGACAGAAGAAAACGCTGCAGGTAATTTTGTGTATGTTTCAGACCTTCCTCCCCTACCCGGCAACTGTCTGTGGACCCCCTGGTTCAGATGAAGAGCCCCTGTTCCAAACACTCAGCCCATCACTTGGGCTTCTGTTTCCTGTTCACCTCGTATTTCGTACTATGACAGATCGCCTGAAATTTCTCATTATCTGTTCAGAAATTTAAAAATATATATTGTCGTGGTATGTGCCTCAGAATCCTGACGGGAAATGAGATTAATGTTTGCGGGATTAAAACGGTGCTATTTGGGGAACCTGCGGTCACTTAAATTGCCCATGGCATGAGAGAGAAAAAACACAAAGAAGAAAAGCTCTCATGTTTTCTGAAGCAAAATAAACTGCATATTTGGTTTCTCTTCCAATGTGCCTCCGGAGATGCTGTCCTCTCCACTTGCACCTCAGAGCTGGCTGGGGCAGGGAGCTGATGACGTGTAGGTTGTCCTGCTGTACGAGGACCATGGCTCCTGTTGGAAAGAGGACCGAGCACAGGGCACCGTGGTTATTGTGAGTGGGACGTCTCCTGGGGCTTACTCACCCCACCAGAACCTTGGAGCACCTCGGAAACGTCCCTACTTAGAGTATTTTGAATTGGGATAGAGAAATAACCATCCCTCAGTTTAGTAAGGGTCCACCTACATTCTGGTTTGTTTCTAACTCGGATTCCTTTCATTGCAGAGTCATAGAGCTGTTCACCACGCTTCCTGGTGACTCAGACAGCCTTGCTTCACCAGCCAGGCAGAGCTATAAATATCTCAGGCTATTTCATTACCCTCCTGTACTCTGAGTGTTAATTCCTCCATTCATAGCTAACAGGCTGCATTAGCTGTGAATGAATTTACCTTTAGAGCCACGCGTCCAGATGAGTTATCCTAAGTGTCCTCTTTCATAGTCTAGGCAGTGGGCATGTTCAGTATGTATTTAGATCTTTGTGACAAGCTGCCATCACTGCATGGAGTAATGGTGATAGACCAGAAGGAGGAATCTACAGAGATTAAAGACCAGGAGAACCTGGTATCTTGGCGTAGAAAGAGTAATATTGGGCAA